TCATATCTTTATTAGTTACCTTCAGCTCAAAATAATCTTTATGCCTAAATGGAATATTTTGGGGTGACATATTCTGATCCACTTCAGCTTAGTTCAATGTTTTGAATCAATAAATGGTGATAAATATTATTATTAAAAACAATTTATTAATTCAGAGTTATCTTCTGAAGGGGATCTTTCTGAAGAAGTAAATGCCCCCAGTTTACTTGTTGACAAAATGGAATTAATGAGATCACAGGATTTTGTGAGGCTTACATAATGTTAATAACGTAGAACTTTTGGAATGAGGACTCAGCATGTTGTAAGTGTTCAAAAGAGTTTGCTGTTGTGGTGGTGGTCATTATTATTAGTTATCATTGTTGTTATTGTTACTGAACCGAGCTTGGGTCCACCCACCCAGTGCAGCAAAGCCAAATGCTGACAGTGGTATTGCAGTGAGAGAAAGTGAGGCATTTATTGCATCTATTACATGCCATAAAGCAAAGAGAATGCTTAAGAACTCAACTCCTGAATGTCTTGCAGTAAGGGCTTTTAAATGCAGGAGGATAGAGGTTATAGGCAAGGTCATAAAGCAACACATGGAGGCTTTACGTTGATTTGACCTAAAAAGGTAGGATGTCTTGAAGGAGGAGGGGCACAGATCATAGGTGGATTCAAAGATTTTCTGATTTGAAATTGGTCAAAGAGGCAAAGTTTTGTCTAAAAATTCGAGATCAGCAAGAAAGAAGGTTAGCTCTGACCCTTGAGCAGGACCCTCTGTGGTCCCCTTCAGGAAGAAATTTAGAACAAATTACACAGGTCAGAGTTTGATTTTCAGTTCCCTATTGTCTGAGGCTTAAAGACAGCACGTTTCATCTAATGGGGGTCTGGATGTCTGATAGACCACTCAGGGTCATGTTAGGATGTTATCTCTAGTTTTTATATGGATCCAAATATTTGGTGATTCTACCTTCTTGGCTATTGTTTGAAGTTTTTGTTACCTTAATGTTTATCGAAGTTGCTCAGTTACTTCTGAGGGGTAGCTGGGTGCCTGGAATTTCCCTAGAAGGAACTCAAGATCTTCCTATTATTTCGGTGCCTGGAGTTGGTGGGTTGCCTGGAAGACCCCAAGAGGAGTCCATCTCCAACAAACAGGAAATAAGGAAGTTGGTGACAATGTTTGTCTATACATGTTTGAACGATCTTTCTGTCTTCTTCAAGGTCATAATACTCCCCTGGAGAAGGAATTTAGGGGAGGCTTTATTCCTATTCACTTTCCAAGGAATAGATTCACCATGAAGAGGTACTATGGCAGCCTCATTCCCAGACAGAAGTTTCTGCTTTTATTCAGATGAGGAAAGCTCTGAGAAGGCTTTTGCAAAATAATCTGCTGAATTTCAAATGTCTCCAGTTTACAAGGGGGGATTTAAAAAACCCTGGAATTTATCTATAAAAATTTGTATATTTATTCTTACACGTTTAAACTTTAGTTACCTTCAGAGCACTCTTCGTTCGATGCAATAAACCTAACGAGATGCTTTTTCTACTGCTCAAAGCAGTTTTTGAACTCTTACATTTGGATGCCTTTCAGTGCTTCTGCCATTTTTGTTTCACCTCTTCTACATTGACAAAACGTTCCCCTTTGAGGACTTTTTTCATATGGGGAAACAAACAAATAAAAAGTCACTCAGGGTGAGATCCAGCGAATAGGGAGGGTGGGCCCATGAGGCATTCCATTTTGAATCACAAACTGTTGAACACTCAGGGTGGTGTGGGCAGGTGTGTTATTACGGTGGAATAACCAGTTACCTGTTTGCTACCACTTGGGACATTTCTTCTGCCAGTTGTGACACACAACAATGTTAATTGGTACACTGATGTCAATGGGTTCCTAGAACACTTGTCTAGCGGAGGAAGCCTGTACTACAAGGGGCCTACTCACCAAAAACATAATTCTGTTTCTTTGGAGTTCTCCCTCAAAAATAATCTTTCTGTCAAAGTGGCATATTTTGGGGTGACATTTTCTGATCCCCTTCAACTGGAAGGAGCAGCATTTCCCCCTCCTCATTTATTTGCTCCTGGGTCTAACTTTAAAAATATGAGTCACATCTTCTGTTGGTGCTTATTGTGTGCAGATGTCCTTGACTTTGAGTCCCCTGTCAAGATCAAAATGTAAGGGAGAAACAAGCTAGATAGCCAAAAAACACTACCACCACCACCAACAACAACAAAAACTATTAAATAAGCAGACGCTGGGGGGCACACCTCATCAATAAGGGTACCTGCACAATGAACATTTGTATACCTAACCCTGAATTGTACCCTACAATTTCAAAATAAAAATTAAAAGAGAAAAAATTAAAAAAAGAAAAACAACAACAACAGCAAAATAAGCAGACAGTTCAGTGTCCTGATGCTCAGCACACTGGGAGATGGTCTCTTCCAGAAATCATCTTGATGTTCTGCAAAGTCAAGTTCCTCTGTCCACCTCTAAGCAGCTTGGGGAGGAGTTGGAGATAGGAGATATCTGACAGTGCTTCTGACATCCATGGGATATAGTACTTCACTCTTAAAGGTGGTACATCCTTTTTTTTTTCTTTCCTAAGGGGACTTGTTCTTGTGCATGTCCAGGTGTCTAGCTGGGAGAAGAAACCGGTTTCACCAGCTCCTGGGCCTTTGCTGGATACTAGGAGGAGCAAGGTCAGTTGGCCAAATGGCACATTTCAGGCAGGAAGAGACCTGTCAGCCTTGGAGAGAAACACAGGACCAGGGCCAGGGCAAAGTGGGTTCTTGGTTTTGAAGGGCTTGAGGAGGAAGGGGAAGAGGAAGTGGAAGACCGAGTAGGGAGGGTGGGCTGGCCCTGAGGCCTTGGCATTCTCAGCCTCAGGGCTGGACTTCCTGTGTTTGGCTGCTTTTTTGGGACTGGCTAATGATTAATGAGGAAATATGCCCTTCTGAAGAGCTCACACCTTCCTGGAGTGTGGGGCCCATGCTATGTTTATAACACAGCCCATGACGTGACAGAGTCATTTTGTGAGGAGCTTCCAGTTCCCTACTAAGGAGGGGCCAGGATTCCCCAGTGTCCAGACAAGGAGTTTGTTCCCACATTTGTGTGGAGAGAGGACAGCAGCCAAGAAGCCTTCAGGAAACGGAGAACATTCGCTGAAACCCTGAAGAGGAGATTTCCCCGTCTGAGGTCAGACAACTCTAGCCTGTGGCTCTCCTGGGATGGGTGTTTGTGAACTGGGTTTCACCACGGGCCCTTCTGGCCCTGCATAGGCCGTTAGCTGGGTTTCCCAGGAAAGCACTGGATAATCACACACCTGACCTTTGTTTTCTAATTTCCACAGAGTTAAAAACTGAAAGAGCGGGCTTCTCTGAGAGTTCAGGAATTTGAGATGATTTTCTAATCAGTGAACGTCACTTTCACAGTGAACTGTTCCCCGGGGTAGGTTGAAAGCTGAGACTTGGCTGGAATTGGGAGGGGTCAGGATTCAAGTGCCAGAAATTAAAAAGAAATTTTATAGTTTTAGGGGGTACATGTGTAGTTTTGTGACGTGAATATGCTGTGTGGTGGTAAAGTCTGGGTTTTTGAAAATGGCTGTGACTGTTGGCTCATGCTATTCACCTGACAGACTTGTAAATGCTGCTTTCTTTCCTCTAACGAGAGGGTCTTACGGAAAGCAGACTTGTTCCAAAGTCTCTGGAAGTTCTGAGACGGTAAGTCTAAATATAGGGCTCACAGAGCTAGGGCTTCAGAGTATAAGAGAAATGCTGGTGCCTTTTTAGTTAATTGTGGAGTTTTCAAGTGAATCCCTCACACAGTCTTTGCTACAGTGCATTCCCTTCAATCCTAAGAAGGCATTTGTCCCCTGTTCTGTTTGGGTTTGTGCTTCTTGCTATTGCCCCAAACAGGGCACTTGCAGGTACGTTTGGAGCTCTCCAACTGTTTCTGACAACCTGGAAATACAGGGTTAATTGAAATCCAAGATTCAGCAATTTTCTTCCCAAGAGGACTAACTTGGTGGGTCCCTGCACTTGTGTAAGGCAGTTAGGGAATTAGTGTGTGTGTGTGTGTGGGGGGGGGGAGGTGTGGTGGTTAAATTCTATCTGTTAAATACAATTTAATTGTGTTAAATTTAAGAAGACATTTCAGTTTTTCAGCTGCAAGGAGGTAATTCAAGTCTTCCGCAATGAAATGAATGAGAAGCTAAATCCCAGACTCCACTCAAACTACCCCAGAGAGGTATTCACGAACAATACCTGGCATATGTCCTCGTTTAATTAAAGCAGCTTGTCTGATTTCAGTTAAACCTCCATCGAGCTTTATGACAATGCTTCCACGGCGCACACCCTTCAGTGCCATCCCCTCTCAAACCCACGCTTGTAGTCGTCTCACGGCTGGGTTTCTAGAGCTCTCAGAGTGTTCCTGCACTGCCTGCCTTATGGGTTCTTTTGGACTCTTCTCCCATGCAGAGATGAAATAAGAATGGTTTGGGAGGATGTTGGCAGAATGGAGCATTTATCAAGTTAAGCAATTTGTTCTTAGTCTGCAGCTGGACTTGACTTGCTTGTCAGTGACTAGTAGGTTTTCCTGATAGACCTTAATCTGTTGCTGCTGTTTCAATAATGTTGGGCCCATACTTTGCTGTGATTGCTTTTGGTGGGATGTGTAATCTTTGGCTTGGTTTTGTTTTCATCCTCCACTAGAGCCTGGCTTTCCGTGCTACTGGTAGAGCAGTCCACTTACCTGTAGAGTTCTGTTCATTGAACCTTGAAAATCAGTAAACAATTTATGCATTTGGCACTTAATAATTCCAGATCTTGGGTCAGTTTCAGAAGGCTAGGATATCATTTTGTTTTGTGTACAGCTGCTGCACAACTTACTACTGAGATATATTTTGGGGATCTTCTGAGTCGTTGGTAGATTACCGCAAAGACCTGGATTCCACCATGGAGCAGTACTGCAACAGACATTTTGAAGCTTAAATTATGGACATGAGTAGTTATGGTTAGTACACATGTGTCTTTCCAAAGACATCAGAGAAACAAAGGTGTGGAAACCCACTGGATATTTCGATGAATACCCAGTAATACGCTTAAATGTCAAATGTGGGTTGTGTTTCTTTTGCACCGACACTCTTGGTGTTTTATTCAGCGACTTGGATGATATGTCTGTAGACTGAACTGTGGCCATTGCTCCGCATGCCAACTTCAGTTCTTGTATTTCTGCTTCTGAGTTGGCTGTGGGGTCTGTCCTCTGTGGCCTGTCAGAGACTAAAGGAGACTGGGTCCCTGGATGTGTATGTCGATACATTATAAAACCTCACTGTGGGGTCTCTAATAGGACCTGATGCCTCATATTTTGGAGGGACGGGTGGATTCCACAGGGCTGTGAAAACTGTATGGGTGACAAAGCCAAAGTGAGAGCCATTCCAGGTCACTGGCCTCCATACTTCAGTGCTGTGCAGGAATGTTTGAAATAAAGAGATCCCTTCCTGAGGTTAAGGCATTGTTTTTGCAGACAGTTCATGGTATGGTCAGTGCCTAGGAGATTAAGCCCTAAATGTTTCAGTGGGATCCAGCTGTACTGATGAGTGCCCTGGTTAGGTCTGTCTCAGAAAAGAAGGACAAAAAGCAAAAAAGAAAAAGTACAGGGGTGGAGGGTGAGCAGGAGGGTTATCAAAGAACAAAGGGAGTTGGAAGGAAAGACCAAGGGATGTACATGGCAGAACCCTCACATGCCAAGTGGCCAGTCAGGCCTTACTTGGTCTGCCCTGACCTCCTCTGACCTCACTCCCTTCCACCTGCTGCTTCTCAGTTTACCACAGAACCCTCTTTGCTATTCCTCAAACTTACCAGACCTGGTCCCACCCCAGGGTCTTTGTAACTGTTGTTTCCTATGCCGGAAAAGCTTTCCTCACAGATGTCCACCTCATTCACTGTTCACAGCTCACCTTCTTGGGGCCCTTTCTCTGACTACCCTGTCTGAAGTGGTAGCCAACACACATGTGCATACATACCATTCCCCATTCCATTCTATTTTTTTCTCCGTACCTATTGCCACCTTCTAAGAGGCCATATCTTCTATCATTGATTATCTTCTCTTTTGAGAATGTGATCTCATGTCTAAAGGATGTTTTTCTCAGTGATGAATGATTGAAATGAATAAATAACAGTAAGCCCAGAGTTCTGAATTTGGGTCAGTAATTTGGAGGTAAGGTGATGTCATCCGCATCCCATCATTTAGAGGTAGGCTTGGGGAGGGTAGTAAGATTGAGTGATTCAAGCTGGGCTCGGTGGCTCAGCCTGTAATCCCGCGCTTTGGGAGGCCGAGGTGAGTGGATTGCCTGAGCCCGCGGGTTCGAGACCCGCCTGGGCAACTTGGCGAGACCTCATCTCTACAATAAATCACAAAATTAGCCGGGCATGGTAGCGTGCACCTGTAGTTCCAGCTACTTGGAAGGCTGAGGCAGAAGAATCACCGGAGCCCAGCAGGTCGAGGTTTCAGTGGCCGGGAGTGGCCACTGCACTCCAATCTGGGCGACAGAGTGAGACTCCAACTCAAAACCAAAACAAAATAAAACAAAACAAAAGATCCAGTGATTCTCAAACTTGAGTGTGCACCAGAATCACCTGAGAGGTTTATTTGAACAGATTGCTGGGTCCATCTCCCTAGAGTTTCTGATTCAGTATGTCTGATTTGGGCCCAAGAATGTGTTTTTCTCACAGGTTCCCAGGCAAGACCACTGCCAACCACATCGACATGCGTTGATCTAATGTACCCGTGGTAGGATTGCTGAATGGTAGACACCTAGTAGTGATGAGCTGTGGCCTGTTGCTTTATTTTCCCAGGTGAGGAAGAACATGCAGAGATGCAGGGAAACCAGAAAGACATCCTGACTGTGCTGGCTGTCCTGGCTGGGCTGGCAGGTAGGGATCACCTGAGCTGGATGGGCTGTTCGTGGGTGTCTATAGCACTTGGAGTGTGGGTTGAGTGCCATGCCCTGAGGGAACCGTCAGAGCACACAGCTGCCAGAAGGGTCTTCCTTAGGCACTTCCCACTGCATCCTGTTCCCAGAGAAACCTCTCCCATAGGGTCCATATCCTCCTGCTTTGACTAGATTTCCAGGATGGCCCTCCATGTGTATCAGATATCCCTATCGTCTTCATCAGGGCCATCACTGTCCTGGGAGTCTGTCTGCCTTAGTCTCCTTCTTTCTTTTGAAATGTTCCCTTCCCTGCCCGGTTATTTACTTCTTCAATTTCTATCTGTCTTTCAAGGAAGACCTGACTTGGACATCACCTCCTCCCTGAAGCCTTCCTGGCCCTTGCTGTTTTCGGAATGAGAGTCCCAGTTCCCATTTATTGACAGGGTGAAGGGCTTGTTTTGTGTGATACCTCCCCTTCCTCACTACCCGGAGCTCTCCCTGGGTGTCCGTTGCAATGGATTTTAAGGTGTGCCAGGCCTGGGTCTCCTGGTCAGGCTCTTCAAAAGACATAGCCTGCAAGCTGTGGAGTCCTTTGTGTAACTTGAGGCTGTACAGCCAGCTTTGATTTTTGTTAAGTCTTGTCTAGTTTCCATTGCTTCAAGGCTGTCTTGTTGTCTCAACCAGATTATAAACTCCTCTTGCCTTTCTTAGGTCAGAGATTTGAAGGCATTGTGTTGAGGAATAATTTACATACAGAAAAGGACATATGTCATAAAGGTGAATTTTCACAAACTGAGCGCATCAGTGTGATCAAGGTTGAGAATAAGAACTGTCAATGAGCACCTCCCTTCTAGTTCCTCCATTTCCCCCTCTCCACAGTGACCATAATTCTGGCTTCTTACTGCTGAGACAAAGATTATTATTCTGACTTCAAACTGCATGGATAAGGACCATTATTCTGACTTCTACCTGCATAGACAAAGATCATTATTCTGGCTTCTAACTGCATAGACAAGGGCTGTTGTTCTGACTTCTACCTGCATAGACAAGGACCATTATTCTGACTGCTACTCACATAGGCACATTTTACTTGTTTTATACTATATATACACAGCTACTCTAATTTGGATAGCTAGATAATGTGCTTTAAAACTCTAGTTTTGAAAAGTACTTGAAGAAATAAGATGGAATAAAGTAGAACAGGAATGTCAGAGTGTGTTGCGTGCAGTAAGAAATATTGTGTGAAATTTAGATTTCCAGTCTATTTGCACATGAAATCTAAGAGCACCAGACTGTGGTGTCAAATGGCCTTTGGGGGCAAAGTTGTTTAGAAGTCTCTAGTGCTGAGCATTAGGAGGTGCTTGTTAAACATTTGCTTGTACAGTGGAGAGGGAGACAAAGAAACAAGGTCCTGCTTGTGTGGAAATTAGGGACTAAAAAAACACCTTCAGTATACATGGGAGGTATGTCAGTCATCATTACAAAAAACTCTTACAAAGTTTTGGTGGACAACGGATAAACTCTAGGTCTAGTGTTTCTGAGACTTTTTTTTTTTTGAAGAAGCTGAGCCTTAAGTGCTGTTCTGAGGGTAGGTAGGATCTGGGTTGACACCTGGAGATGGTTCTTCCAGGGAAGAGGTGCATGGGCTAATTCTAGAACTACCAGGAAGATGGGCATTCATCCTCAAATCTGTGGTAGACACTGAACCTTTTGGATGTTTCATCTTGGAATGTGTTGTGAGTAGAATCGTCTTCATTTGTAGACTTGGCTCTGAATAGCTAAGGATACCCTCTGTGTGCACCCATAGGGCTCTTCCCAACCCTCTCCCTTCCACCTTGCCCACTATATCATGGGTTATATAGAACTCTGTCACCTTATTTATTCACTCAGTGAACACTTGTAATGTGCCACTTAGCTGCAGACACTGAGATGGAAGGCAGAGTAAAACCAGGCATAGGCCTTGTGATCATAGAGCTTGGTGCCTAGTAGGGCCAACAAGCATTAACTGTGAGTGAAAATAAATATTGAACCACCACTGTGACAATTGCCTAACTGCTTTAAGAAGTATCGCTGCCTTGAGAGCCTGTTACAGGATAGTTAGCCTAATTAGGGTGCTCTGGGAAGTTTTCCCTGAGGAGGAGACAAATGGGCCAGGAGCTGAAGAGTGAGTGAGACTGGCACTCCTGGCTGGTCACTGCACATGCAAAGGTCCTGGAGCCAGAAAAAGTTGATGAGTTAGAGAAATTAAAGAAGGTTCATTGATTGGAGGGGGAAGTTTGAGACAAACTGAAGCTTGAGAGAAAGTCAATGTGGGTGTTTAAAACAACAATGTTAAGGATCATCTGGATTTTATCCTAAATGATGGAAATTGTTCAAAGAAGTATGGAGGTGGAGAACAGGGGAGGGGCTCCTCCAGGGGAGGTTTGTGTTTTGAGAAGGTCCCTCCAGCTGCAGCTTGAAATGCAGGTGGTAGCATAGCAGGTTGCTGGCTCTTCCTACCATCCTTACTTGGACTCAGCAGGCAGCTCCTTCCCGTCTCAGTTTCTTTCTGTTGATCCCAAGATCTGATGTGTTCTGGCTCCCATTTTCTCCTTCTGAAGATGTGTCACCAAAGCCCTTTTCTTCTGCCCTCCATTTTACTTCCCACCCTCCTTTCTGCCTCTTAATCCACATTCCCAGCCCTGCTTTTCTGGTCATGACAACTCTTAAGGTAGAGATAAGAGCAGGTAAAAGGTCTCCAGGTGTAGCCAGGGAGGCTGGAGAAGAGAAGAGGGGAGTGAAAAAAGAAAGATAGTGGCGGTTGTGGACCCTCAGGTCCACACACCAGGAAGGTGACCAACTGCTATTCCAGGGAGCTGAAATAAAAATAAAAAGTCATGCCAGAAGAATGATACTTTTATTTAGGACCTAATTTTTTTTTTTGGAGGCCTAGCAGGAGCCCCAGAGGCTGGCGAGTGTGCTACCATAGGAAGTATTTAAGTTTTGCAGATGTTAGTATGAAGTGAGTAGAAGAAAGGGAATCTTTTCAATCTTGGGTGGCAGCTCACTGTTTACACAGAGGTACCTAATAGGGCAGGAGAGAAAGCAAGAGGACAGGGCTGGAGGGGTGGATTTGGGAACTGGAGTGTTACAGCTCAACATGGGGTCTTATATCCCCTGCCCAGAAAAACCAAAACAGATGCAGCCATCACAGTGGAGAAAGAGTTTAATAGCAGAGCAGCTAAGCCAGGAGGGTGGGGAACGTCTCTCAAATCCACTTCCCTGAAGAGACACAGGTTTTATTTATTTTATTTTATTTTTATTATTTATTTTAGAGTCATGGGGTACAACTGAGGATTTGCTATAAAAGTAGGCTGCATATAGGTGAAGTTTGGGCTTCTAGTTGGTCCTCTCTGCCCCTGATAGTGGATCAGGTACACTTTGTGATACTACACGTCCCCTCCCTACTTCTTCCCTCCCTCCCATAGCAATGCCCAGTATCTGCCGATCCCACCCTTGTGCTAGTGTTATTAGTGATTAGGCCCTGCTTATGAGTGAGAACATACGGTATTCAGTTCTTTGTTTCTGTGATAGTTCACTTAGTATGATGGTCTCTAACTGCATCTAAATTGCTGTGAAGGTCATGATTTTGTTCTTCTTTATGAGTACATAGTATTTCATCATGTATATGTTCCACATTTTCTTTATCCAGTTGCCTTTCAGTGGGCATCTGTGTTGGTTCCATGTTTTTGGTATTGTGAGTAGTGGGGCAATAAACATGCATGTGCTGAAGCTGCTTTTTATCTTTCAAATGGCTTCTTGTCTTCTCAAGCTATGTCTATTGATCTTGAGGGGCAGCTTCCCCTCCACACCAGAGTCTGACACAAAGGTAATTGCAAGTAAACTTACAAGCAACATTTTCATTAATTTCTAATCATAGCTGCAGCTTTTACTCCATGACTTGATATTAATTCTGTATAGATGATTTCAAGAGTTGGTGTGACAACCGTGCTGCCCATTGAAAGTGGACCGGATAATGAAAATTGGTACATTTACATGATGGAAGATTATACAGCCATAAAGAAAAACAAAATTATGAAATTTGCAGTAAGCTGGATGAAATTAGAGTCTATAATACTCAGTGATTTATCACAGAAACAAAGATTTGAGTACCACATGGACTCACTCATAAGTGGACCTTGAACATTTATCATAATACCGCAAGAAAGAGATTGGCAGTAGAGGGACACTGCCAGGGGAGGCAGGGCACATGACATCAATGAGTACTCACACTTTACCTGTATGATGACCACACATGTACCCCACAATTTTAAAAATAAAATAATTTTTTAAAGAAAGAGTTGTTGTGAGTAAGAATCTTCCAAGTAGATAAATGCCTTCAAGGGAATCATGTAGACAGCAGAGGTAGGAACCTGGTTTTGGGTGACAACTGCATCAAAGTGGCTTTCTTGATGTTCCCCATCTGCCTCTTTGCTCTACAAAGTAAAAGGGAGAACAAAGGGAACAGGGAGGTTTTTGAAGTAAGATAGGTGACTGTTTGGTGAAAGGTCTTATTTACAGTTTTCTTATATTTGTTCTGTGTAGGACAAGGCTACACATAGCACTGCTGATAAGACAGATGAAAGAAGAATGAGATAACAGGACCTCACTTTACTGGAAAAGTAGCTTCTGAGTCTCCAGGAATAGCTGGAGGGTGGGTTCCTTATGATTTGTTCTAGCAAGAAATGAGGGTAACCTTGTCAAGGGAATTTAGTGCTTAGGAATTTCATGCTTAGTGTTGAAACTAAACTCAAGGAATTTTCTTCTTTGCTGCATCCTTCCCACCTTCCCAGCTGCAGAGTGATGTGGCCTGTGAGTATTTTGATTCCTTAGTCATACCTGCAGCCTGCAGAATATTTGGTTTTGGAGTGAAATCATCTTACCACCTTACACAAGGCAGTGCAAGGAGCCACAGTTTGCTAATTCCGTTGGAGTTGGCTGGGCAGAGCTGAAAGGGGAAGGCAGGGGCTCCCCAACCCTTGTCTTCCCCACTCCCAGTTGGGCTCTGTCTATTTGACTGCCATCACTGGAGGCAGGAGTAGGGGAAGAGTGGTTATCACTGGAGGGAGTGTGAATCGTGGCTAGTCCTTCTTCCCTCTGCTGTAGACTTGGCTATTTCTTTTCTTCTTAACATGCAATTCAGGGTTTGTGGAATGGGCCAAGTTGGCCCAGTGGGGTTGTGGCTTCCCTGGGGGGTTGTTTCTGATTTCCCTTCCTTGTACCAGAGAGCCCTGCCCCAGAAGTTAGAAAGAAGACTAATTTGTGTTGTGGTTTAGAGTCACACTTTCTCTCCTTTTCTGTCATGCCCAGAGATAAAACAAAGAATAGTGATCATGTTTACCCAAACACTAGCTTTACCTTTGTGAGTTTTGACCTTTCTCAGTCTTGCCTCTTCCAAGTCAGCAGGTCCCCCTCCTTGTCCCTGGTCACCTCATCACCTGCTCCTGCTTCAGTGGGGGCCTGTTCTGTGTAGCAGCTCACTTCTTCCCATTCACTTGTTGTTCCTGCGGGAGGCAGTTCCATTCCTGCAGTGCATTCTGGGTATTCAGGTGAAGTGTTAATGTGTGTCCATCAGTGTAGTTTCTCCCCAGAAACTTTTAGGACTATAATGAGATTATTTTACAACCTGCCTTGCCATTTGAATTTACAAGGTCAGAAAAAAAGGGGGGGGGGCTATTGTTGTTTGGGGACACCAGTGCATACAGCAGACCCACCTGGATCATGCACCGCCAGAAGATAACAGGAAGGAGGTATTGACATGGCAGTTATGGTTGAAAAGAAACCCATGGAATCTTCTTACTATAAACTCTGAGTGACATCAGAGAGGGAGAAAGCATGGCATTCAAAGTGGATAGGTCTGAGTTTGGGTCCCAGCCCCATTGCTGGGACTGAGAATCCTTGGGTATTGTTAGTTGCAGAGTTGACTCTTTATGGAGAATCTGTTGCATGCCTCTTTCTTAGCTTCTGATGTTGCCCACAATTCTTGGCACTCCTTAGCTTGTAGGTGCATCACTCCAATCACTGCCTCAATTTTTCCATGGTATTCTTCTGTGTCTCAAATTTCCCTTTGCCTCTTTTTTATAGGAACACCTGTGATCAGCTTAAGGGCTTACCCAAAATCCAGGGTGATTTTATCTTGAATCTTTAATTACACTTGCAAAGACCCTATTTTCCAAGGTTTCATGCTGAGGACCCAGTAGACATGAACTTTTGAGGAACACATGCTGAGAATCCAGTGGCAAGGCGGACATGACAGTGGTTTTGTGTCCACTGGAAGCTTCTGGTCTACTGGGGAAACCTGATGTTGGGACCAGCAGGACATGGAGTTGAGGCCATTGGGTGGACACCCAGGGGATCACAACTGGTCAATACGGAAGGGTTAAACTGTACAGGTGATTTACATACGCTGTTTACCTACTTGAAAAATTTGTTGTCTTCTAGTTTTTTCTGGATCCAGTTATCAAATCATAGAAGGTCCCAAGAACATGACAGTCTTGCAGGGCTCTGAGGCTCACTTCAATTGCACTGTCTCTGAGGGCTGGAAGCTGATCATGTGGTCTCTCAACAACATAGTGGTGCTGAGCATCACACCCAAGGAGCCCATCATCACCAATGACCGTATCACCTCTGAGAGCTATGATGTGGGTGGTAACATCATCTCTGAGATGATAATACATGATGTGCAACTCAGTGATTCAGGGCATGTCATATGCAGCCTCCAGAACAGTGAACTGGTTGGATCTGCTTTCCTTGTGGTCCAAGGTATGTATGCAGGTGGCTCCCCAGTGGAGCATCTGGCGTCCACTGGGTTAAATGTCAGAGGGCTGGAAGTACCTTCAGTTCATGCTTTATATGATGACATATAAAGTCTCCTTTCAGTCGGTGTTACACTCACAATTATTCTGAACTGATTAATGTTTTGTGATTTGTTTATTACCTCTTTTCTTCCCTTTCTTCCTTCCTTTCTTCTATTGTATGTGGCCTAGCCTTCAATTGGCAATAAGCTAAGACTTATTCTGTTTACTATTTAATTGATTGATGTCTCTCCCTTCTTCCTTGCTTTCTCCCTTTCCTTTTTCTAACTTTTCCCTCTCTCAGCTTTCCTTTCCTTTCTTCTTGCTAAGAAGGTTAGAGACAAATTTAATCACTTCCCCACCTAATCCATTTCACTATTAATAACCTTTCTGGAAACATAATCTGGAATTCTTCTGGGGCCAGTTGTAATCACTTTGCTTTAGAGATAGTTGACAATCATTATTTCTCTAGTTTTTCATAGGCTTGATTATATTCTTTGCATCATTTTTGAAGTATGCTTTACCTTTTTTTCTTTCTTTTTTTTCTATTCCCAGTGGAATTCCTCCAGTCTATTTCTTTATTCTGCCTCCAACTATAGTGGTTATTTTAGTCAACAATGTGTTTTCACCAAATTATCAAGTTGTTGAGAGAAAAAAATAAAAGGACAAATAAAATTTATAAAAATGGATAACTTTTTTCATTTTTAAGGTAATTTTAAGGTTCTGAAGATCATGTAAAAAAGTAAAAGGATGCTTTACAAGGACTTGGAGTAGTCTTACCAAAATTTAATTACTTTGCATTCTTTAAAGGTATTTTTACTCTCATTTATAGATGTATTGTCACATGTAGAGTTCCAGATTTCTATGGCAGCATTTCTTACAAGAGACCACATGATGTCTTTGAAATTATTTCTTATATCTACTTATTTTTTTTGTCTAGAAGAAATTCTTGAAAATTCTGGCCATGTTCATGTTGCTACCAATTAGATTTGATAGCATTTGATGGAGACAGTTCTACCTATTTTTACTTGGATTTTTGAAAATGCTTTTTTTTAACTTTAGAAATTTAGCTAAAGTGGTGTGTCTTTACTTTTCTGTGCCTTTAATTTTGTGTGGTTTAATTAAGGGTAGGATGATATTTTCTAAATAAGTGATTTTTTTGAGGCGACCTAGGACTATTGGCTTAGTTTGCATGACCAGATTCTTATTATAGTAATTTTTGATATAAGGGAAAGAACACAGGAAAAGGAATCAAAGATATAAATCCTGGTTTTGATTTCATCAGTTATCTAATGAAGAGAGACCCCTGAGATGACTCAATTTCTTCATCTTTAAAGTGGGTATAAGGCGTCCTTGCCTGATTTTCAGGTTTGCTGTGACAATCAGGTGAAAACAGACTGAGGATGGATTGAAGATTCCAAAGTTCTGTCTGATTCAATTCTCTGCACATTAAGTTGGGGATCCAGAGTGGTCCAGTGGCCAGTTATTGCAGACTTGGGTCCTGGCTTCCTGAGTTCACATTTTTAACTGTATTACTTACCAGTGATTGACCTTGAACACATTACTTAATGACTTTGTGTTCTAGTTTCCTCATCATAAGACTGTTGGGCATCAAATGAGTAGGCTTATGTGAAACCTTGATGATGCCTGGCTCCTAGTGATTATCAGATGGTTATTTGCTATTATGTATTGTGTTCCCAATGAAAAGCATGCAATTGTGTTAGGCATTTAAGGGTGACTCAAAGATGAATAGAATAAGACACAGCTCCTGTCCTTCAGAACTCCACAAGAAGAGTAGATAATGCCGGTTGCATATTCCCAGATAATAGATGTGCCACCCAGATGCTGGCAAGGGTGATGAAAGTGAGCCAGGTTCCAACTGGGAAGAGCGATGATAGAATCAGCAAAGCCTTCATGGACAATTCCACGGAGAAAGTGCCATTGGAGATGTGTCTTCAGGGTCTATAGATGGTAGGCAAAACAGGGAAGAAAAGGATGAGGATCAGGGAAACACAGGGGCAAAGGCATGGCTTATCATTGCTGTACTTATGACATGTCAAATTCATAAATCCAGGTGGTTTCATAGCATCTTTTCCCAAAGTCATAAATCTTACAAATTTGAATACCCCTAACATGCATCTTTATACATTGGTAGTTACTGTAGTTTTTGGTTTTAATACAGATGGAAGAACAAGCGTCTAGGAAAGTAAAAGACTTCTCCAAGGTCATGCGGAAGGAGCCCACAGAACCAGGACAGGACTCAGTCATTTTACCCTGGTCTCATTGGTCTGAATGGCACTTAATTCTCAGAGGAGTCAATGTTCTCTGAGCAAGGGGTCTCCCTTGAGGGAAAAAGAACATTGGGAAAAAAAGAGGAAACATCTGTAAATAATTATCCAATGAATATTTTTTCCCTCTTCATGTGTCAACACAAAAAATAAAGAGAGCTGACAATTAACTCCAAATTGAGTCATCTAAAATCTGTATAAATATTCTAGAAATCAGTTTTGCATAAAGTGTTTATCATGCTACTGAATGAGCTTTGTGAAAGTCAGTGGGGAAGAGTTGAATCCCAATTCTACATAGAAAAAAGAAAGGCTTCATATTGCTGCACTGGTCCATTTGTTGCCCAATCCACCAATTAACCACACACCAAACTCTAGACCACTTACGTTTTAGGAAAACAAAGACTTGAGTTAAACAGTAGATTATTAACTGAGGCAATACCATTCCTCCCAGTTTCTAGCATCTTTAACCACTTCAAATGAAAGAAAACAATGAACAAACACAAAACCCTTTAGACTTAAGAATAAACCCTCTTTCTGCTTATTGTTGCATTTACAGTAATACTTAAATTAGCAAAGATGCCTTGCTTTTTCCAAAAGAATATTCAGGAAAGGAATAATTGGAAATCTAACATTTCTTTTTTTTCTTTTTTTTATAAACAGTATTTTTTATTATGATATTGTGGGGTACAGGTTAAGGGTTAGGTATACAAATATGCTTCGTTCAGGTACCCTTGTTGATAAGAGGTGTCTCCCCGTCCCCAGACAGATGTTTACTACCACTAATCCCATCTCACTTCCCCTCCCTCCCCCCCCCATAGTTTCCCACCACTGTCAGTCATTTTCTTATGGTAATACGTTGGAAATCTAACATTTCAGGGTAAAAATATCTTTCAGAACTGATTCATTCTTTTAGGGTGGTCAGTGAAGGCACGATTGTTTTCCTAATACTGAGATGTTAGTTGCCTTTTATTCTCATCAGTGCCCAGGGAAGTTCTTCACTGAACATTGGGAAAGTCTTCATGACTCAGTGGACCAGCATTTTTCAAGTGACACAAAATCACGCAAGAGTATAAGATCTATTCAAAGAGCTAGGTGGTGCAATGGATTTTATTTTTATCTTAGAGTTGTTGGTGTACAAGTGAGGATTTGCTTCATAAGTTGCATTCAGGTGATATTTGGGCTTCTAGCTGGCCCTCTCTCCCACTGATAGTGGACCAGATACCCAGTGTGTTGTCTCATCTCTCTTCCTCCCTCCCTCTGCTAACAGGTCCAGTGTCTGGTGATCCTTCCCTTGTGCACGTGTGACCAGGGATCAGGGCCTGTTGAGTGAGAATAGATTTTAATATGACAGAGAATGAAAGTTCTTTGACATAGTTTCAGATTTCACAGTGCAACTAAGCTTTAAGAGGCCATCCTTGTTGAGTTTTGGTATAGTATCCAAGAATATCCACAATTATCTGGAAAAGCTATTAGAATACTCCTTACTGTTCCAACTGACATATCTGTGTAAAGTTGGGTTTCCTTTACATCCTTCAAATAAAGCAGATTGAATGAAGAAGCAGCCTGATATAAATGAGAATCCAGCCAGATCATATTACAGAGATTTGCACAGATATAACTTTTTTTGTTTAAATATATAATTTTTCAAGCCTCTTTTCCTAAGCCACTTTGGGCTTAGGAAACTAGGTCTCACAAATTGTTATTTGAAGCAATCACAATAAAAAACATGTTAATCTAAATTAACATGTAATGAATTATTGTTATTTTTAAGTATCTTAAAAATAATTATTTAAATTTAATTTCACATGTGATAAATATTGATAGATACAACCCACATAAACGAAAGGTCTTTGGAACCCTCTGTGATTTTGAAAAATGTAAAAGGTACTGAAGCCAATGCTTGAGAATTGCTGATATGGCCAAATCATCTCATTTGATAGGTGAAAAACAGAGAGCCCCACAATTTCAGTGACTTGCCCAAGGGGATAGCAATTTTGTGACAGAGCCAGAATTGAGAACAGAATTTTTGATTCTTAGTCCAGTGTTTTTTCCATTATATTATGTAGCCAGGAGTTTTAGCATGTTTTAGTTTGGAAATATCAACATATGAAGGGGGACACTCCAAAAAACCAAACCCCTGGAATTATTTTTTAGAGAGCAAGCCCCTTGTAGTACAGGTTTCCCCTGCTAGGTAAGCATTTTAGGAACCCACCAGCATCAGTGTACAAGTTAGTGTTTTTGTACCAGCTAGTATACCAACTAGCTAGACTGTGTTCAGTTTCAGTGAAATTTTTTGGGAGATTCTTTCAACACGATTGCCCATTTCATGATGGATGATTTATGAGTGCACCTGCCCACAATGTACTGAGTATTCAGCAGTTTCTGACCAAAACAGCATGACCCATGTTGCCCTACCCTCCCTATTCACCTGATTTCGCCCCAATTGACTTTTTTTGTTCTCCCTGATGAAAAAGTCCTCAAAGGGAAACAATTTGCTGATGTGAAAGAGGTGAAACAAAAAACAGTAGAAGCACTCAAAACCATCCAAATTGATGAGTTCAAAAACTGTTTTGAGAGCAGTGGAAAAAGCATATTCTCTATAGGTGTATTGCATCAAATGGTGAATACCTTGAAGGCAACTAAAGTTTAAACATGTAGGAAGAAATACAAAATGTTTTATAAATAAATTCTGGAATTTTTTGGGTCTCCCTTATATATACATTTCACTAAAGCTGTGTCTTTACTGGGGCCAATCCTTGGGTTATTTTAGTAATACTAGAAAAAGCAAGTATAATTTTGGTGTGGGTTATTTACGTTGTGAATGCCAGTCTATGCAAGTATGTCCTTAATCAAAATTTTAAAATAATTTATCTGAGTAAGTTATTCTGATCCATGATTTTGGGCTAGCAATTTCTGTAATTATAGTATTTTGATTTTTATTTATTTGTTATATTGATTTAATTTGATGTTGATTTAATTTGTGACAAGAAATATTTTGAGGCACTGTCATGGGCAGTTATGTTTCAAACTATGTGGCCCCCATAATAAAAAAAATTAATATGATTAACCACAACTCCAGGAGATCCTTGCTTCTCTCTGGGATGTGTCCTCCTGACATTAAGAAGAAGGTGGCAATTGTTTCCCATTTTGCCATTGCCCCCAGGAGGTCCCAAGGCAACTTTGCAACTCCACTTCAGGGATTAGTTAGCCTCCTATGACATTCATGACTGCATTTTCCTTTCCATATTATTATTTTTCCCTGCCTAATTCTAATGTATTCATTTTCTATGTAATTTTATGTTTTCTTGTGAGCAACGTCACTTTCTTCAGAAAACCCGGTAGGTATAAAAAGAGGACAAAGAAAAGACTTGAGTTAAGATTTTTCTGGTACAGACACAGCCTCTTTGTAGATTTCATGAATTGTGATTTGAAGCAAAAATTTAAAAAAAAAAAGAAAAATAATGCCTAGAACTGTCATTTCTTCCAAATGTTTTTTCTCTTTTCTTCTTTAGTTATGGGGAAATTGTTCCTTCCCAGTGACAGTCTGATAGTCACTGAGGATGAACCTTGTAATGTTACTTGTCGAGCATCAGGCTGGTCCCCACTCCCGAATATTTCCTGGGAAATCCATGTCCCAGTCAGCCATTCAAGCTATTATTTCATTCCGGAGCCCGACGACCTTCAAAGTGCAGTGAGCATCCTGGCTCTGACCCCACAGGGCAATGGGACTTTGACTTGTGTGGCTGTCCTGGAGAGTCTGCAGGCCCACAAATCTGCAACTGTAAACCTTACTGTGATTCAGCCTCCCCTGGGTAAGTGATGATTATTTCATGTTTTTATTTTATATATCACACAACTTCATCAACAATGCTTAGGAAAAATGGATGGCGACTTGATTTCAGGTAGAGCTGGTAAATGAAAACAAATCACACCTGCTATCAGCTGTGTCCCCGTCTACTCATCTGCCTTTTAAATTCCATCTTAAAGTTTTTCTCTCTTTTATAATTACATTAAAAAACCAGTTAGAATCTTGCCAATCATTTATCATAAAACAGCATCAAGTTCAGAGACAAATACTTGAATTTGATATTTATGTCTGGCTTTTATCCACCACTGTTCCAGTTGGGTCCCACTCCCTGAGCAAGTCCAAATAGTTGAGGAGGATGTTCAGATTCTTTTGGATTTCTTCCAATATTAGTGGAATTATGATGCTTCATTTTTCACCCAGTAAATCCACAGTGTATGTGAAAGCATCGATTCTAACTATATTGCTTAACTTGACTAAATGGCATAATTTTAAAGTTTAAAGGTATCTTTAGAATGAAGAAATTTGGGACACTCCACCTTAACCAAATGATCAAATGTAATACCAATGATAGAGAAAATTGTTTCATATGATCACATGACATTATTCCATCCTCTAAAGAATCTCCCGTGGGGTTCTTGGCATAGCAGAAACTCTAATCATGTTCCTTGAAGGAGCCTGTAAGCTCTGAGTCAGCCTGGACAGGGAAGGGCTGGGGCTTTGAAGATTTACTTTAACTTCATTTTATAGAACAGGAAGGAAAGCCTAGAGAAATATTGGACTTCTCTCCAGGTCACACAGCTGATGGGGCAGAGCTAGGTCTAGAAGTTACGAACAACTTTTCTTTTGGTCTGAAGCTTTTCTTGCTACAAAAACACCTTCAGGTAAGATCTTTTAAAGTTCAGAACAAACCTATAGCCAAAGCAAAATAATAATACTAACAATAATAAACAGCACTATATAGTACTTACCAAGAATTGGGCACTGTTCTAAGCACTTCTCAAATAGTCACCAAAGTTACCTGCCCAACAGCTCTTTTGTAAAGGGGAGGTGACAGGGACAGTGTTGTTTGGATTTTACCGAAGTCTGTAGAGTTAGTGAATAACAGGGACAGCCCGGGACAGTTTGTCTCCATAATTTGCTCACCTGTCAGCTCCACCCACCACATGGACACCTATTTGGAGGGTATATGAGTGTCCTGTGGCTGCTACAATAAAGTACCACAGACTGGTGACTTAAACAAACAGAAGTGTATTGTCTCACAGTTCTGGAGGCTGGAAGTCTGAGATCAAGGTGTCAGCAGGATTGGTTCTTCTGAGGACTGTGAAGGAGAATTCATTCCATGTCTCTCTGCCCTCATCTTCACATGGTGTTCTCTCATTTGTTGTCTTTCCTGATAAAAATATTTTTGAAGGCTAAATATTTTTGGTATCATTGGTAGTAAGTTTGATCATTTGGTTAAGGTATAGTTCCCCAAATTTCTTCACTGTAAAAGTACATTTATGTCTTTGTAATGAATATGTAATCTATGGATACTGTGGAAATATCCTGTTTGCTCAGTCTTTCACCTAATCACTTCACTTCTAAGCCATTACCTGAATCAATTATTTCTATGGTGGTTATATGAGATTGATTTCCTGCTTCCATCATTTTTTCCATATTTTGTAGTTGGCATTCTTTTGTAAAGAAGAAATTTCTTTCTCTTTTCATTTTTCACAGTTTTAGTAGGGACTCATTTTAGTTCAGTACATTATGATCTACTCCTATCATTATTCATTTAGATGCCCAGATTGTTCCAGATTTAGCCAGTGAGAATCCTTTCAAGCTGGCTCTGGTGTCCTTCTGACATGTCCCTATTAGTTTTTGAGAACCTGGCCAACTTAATTTGCCCTCCCCTGTCCCAGGCTGGAACCAGTCATGTCTCCAAGGAGTCAACTTTAGCTCTCCTATTTAATCTATTAAAATATAATAAAGTATGGTCCAGGCTTTGAAAGGGAAGATTAAAAAAAAAAATTAGCACCCAGTAGAATAAAGTGGACTGTTTAAAGCACATACCTTAACAAGGTAATAATGCAGCAAGAACTCTGGTCTGATTGATGGTATGCTATAGAAGTGGATTTTAGAGATTAGCTTGTTTGCAATTTTTTTTTTGTAGTGGAAGGGGAAGGAAAGGGGTACTTAATTTCTCTTGATCAGGTTTAATTCAGCTGAATTCTTTTTGGACTTGGCCCGGTGTCTTAATGACGGCAGTTGGAGGCATGTTGGCTGGGAGAGGAAGGCTCAGTGGGTGTCTTGCAATGAGTTTTGCTTTATTGGACTCATTTGGAAAAGGGTAATTTGTTTCTAAATTATTCATCAAGATCCAGAGCAGCTGGTGGCTGGCTGCATGTTGTGTGTTTTATGTAAGTTTTATTAGTTGAAGACTTTATTGCTGCTTTGGCTACTGAAGCTGTTGACCAGAGGAGGCTTTAAGGAGCACAGCCACAGCTTTAAGGTTTACAGAGAGTCGAGAGTTAATGAGGCTGGGTCCGTTCAGGCTTCTTCAGGAATTGGATAAACATCAATTTTTCTACCCATTTCTTAAAATTGCAAGACATTTGTTTTTACTTCTGGAATGATCTCTGTAAGTGGTTGAAAGAAGAATGACAACAGTGGTTTAGGAAACCTAGTGAGGTCAAGTCAAAGGATTGTTTGAAGTACTTACTGGTTTATAGTTCAAAAGGCTTCATTAAAGAAAAGCATATTGAGAGTGGGTATGGTGGTTCATGCCTGGAATCCTAGCTCTTTCGGTGGCCAAGGTGGGAGAATCATTTGTGATCAGGAGTTTGAGATCAGCCTGAGCAACATAGCAAGATCCCTGTCTCTAAAAAAATAAAATAATAAAGTTAGCTGGGTGTGGTGGTATGTGCCTTCAGTCCCAGCACCTTCAGAGGCCAAAGTGAGAGGATTGTTTGAGCCCAGGGGTTTGAAGTCGCAGTGTGCTAGAACCATGCCACTGCACTCAAGCCTGGGTGACAGAACAAGACCTTGTCTCAAACATCAACAACAACAATAACAAAAAAGCATATTGAAAGAGATACTGCTTATCTAATGCTAATCAGTTTTAAACATTAACTTTCTGTATTGCTAACATAATAAAAACCTCAAGCATTGTAGACATACATAAAACCAGAGGGTGAGTCTCCTCTATCCCCATCTGAGATACACACTGTCAGTGCCATCTGTGACCCTCTGGGTTGTGTTTTGCGCACTTATTTTTGTATAGGTTGTGAAATGATTAAAATGAAATAATATTTCTAGGTCACATGAACACTGTGGAGAATGTAGTGATGGCTGGCTGTAATCTTACTTTTTTGAGAAGAGTGTTAAAAGTGATAGTCTTGGGTTTTCACTCTGGCACTGATGGTGCAACTTTGGATGAGCCACTAATCTCTGGGTCTCAGTTTTCTCACCTGTAAAATGGGTGGGAGAGGAACAGAGAGATTCTCTCTCCTCACTTTGTGTCAGAGTCACCAGAGGTGCCATCACATATAACTCTGATGCTTGGACCCTCCCCGGAAGTTCTGGTTTCACTGGCGTCTGTGGAGTCAGGAACTGGAAAAAAAAAAAACAAAACCCAAATGACTCTAATGGGAGACCAGGACTGGGGGCTACTGGACTGAAAAATCTTTAAGGCCCCACATTCCCATCCAGCCTCATCAGGTGCTGTACCCACACAGACTGGGACATTAGGCAGCCTGGGTTCCAATCCCAGCTCACCCACTCACTAGCTGAGTGACCTTCAGCAAGCCACTTACTTGCATTGATCATTAGTTTTCTCGTCTGTCACATTGAGATGATAATAATGCCTACCTTATAAGGTTACTGTTGGTGTGAGAAGTAAGCAGGTTAAAATGTCCAAAGCATTTAGGACAGCTGCTGTCACTGAGCACACAGGACAGAAGAGTGAGTAATTATTATCATCCATCTTATTGATTCAGTGATCTCCTGTGCTCCCTCTAGTGAGCACAGGAACATGCTTTTCATATGTTGGTGGTGATATTTTGTATTAATATACCCTTTGCACATGTTGGTGGTGACATTTTATGTTAATACAGTTGGTTTCAAGAAATTCTATGCACCCTTTTAAAGTTCTATGCATTCCTTTGAGAGCATCTGGGAAACACTATTTTCCTTTTCTTCACAGATGGGTAAAGGACAATCTTGAAGCTGAGATTAAAGCAGACAGTAAAGTCAGTAATGTGGCCCTAATGAGCACACAGTGGTGTGGAGGAACATAGGGAGAAGGGAAAGTGGGGTTGAACTTGGAGATAATTTTACTTAGTCACTATTTGTAAGTTACTAAGATATAGATTATTCACCCTCTTCAGCAAATCTGCAATTCACATTGAACTATGCATATCCACCTTCTTCATAAACTATAAGGCAGGAGTCAGTGCCCAACTGTAGACTTTCTACAAACAGATTTACTTTGTACCTGGGCCATATTTTCCCCAGAAGGATTTTTCCTCATTGGAGACAAAATGTGGCAGAATGGAAAGACATGCGTCAGACCTCTGGCTTCCTGTTCTGAGTGCCCTCGTGCAGTTTACTCAGTCTCTGTATCCTAAATGTCTTATCTGCATGATGAAGGGATTGGATTATGAATGAGAGTCATTCCAAGAGTATGTGTTTTCTGTTCATTGTCATGATTTTTGATCTATGGCCATTATTATTTATTTTTTCCAATCTACTGCAAATGTACTCATTAAAAAAAATAACCTCATACTACACATAATTATTCATTTTGCATATGGATATACTTATATATGTAGTATATGATACATTAAAAACAGTCAGCAGAATAAGAAAGGTCTATCTATGTAGCTGTAACCTTAAATCTGCCTCCTCCTGGCTCATACACTATGCTTTAACCTCCACTGGATTAGAGGGAGACTTAAGCTTAGGTTTCTCATAGGTGTGAGACTCTCTGGAAGGTCTGCCTTCTAATGGAGTGTGGTCACAGCA